AGGAACCAACTTTTCAACGCACACTCCAGTATTAATACTGTTGAGAATAATCATTTTCATTTATTAATTTGAATATTTGTTATCACTTGCTTTATGAGAAATAAATAATATTTAAATCAGAATTTGAATAAAAACTTTGTTTGTTAAAGAGTAAAAATTTATGACACACGAGCTTTGACCAATATTTATTTTTATCGTTATCACGTTTGACTCACTAGGAAAATAAATCCCACACTATAGTCTTCATTTGAATCATCAAACAGATGTGACGAATCAACCAATGTGAAACAAGAAATTGAACATAGCATGATTGAATTCAGTTTCGGTATAACGGTATTTCTTTCAAAAATATAAATTGAAAATTGGACATCTGGATTTTAAAGCCTAGTTTTATTGATTATCGTATTATTTATAACATCAGCAGTGGTGGTTATACTTGCAAGGGGTTCAACAATATTGTTTGACATGATACAGTATGGAACAAATAATGAAAATGTGATACAAATTATTTTGATTCTTGATCTTTAGTTTAGCTTCAGAAATGACATTAAACAGTGAAGTTAAAAATAGAATCACCATGGCCTATCATTTTTAAGGGAAGTGTTTCAGGCTGCCACTTGCTTTATAAATACATAAAGTCATAATGACACCACAGCAGCACATTAATCATTGTTTCCTTTCAATGGTTGTTGAATTAAAGTATAATACACAAAATCGCAAGCTTGTTATGATTCAAGAATTAAGATGCCTTCAATTCGTCAAACATGCATAAAAAAATGTACTCCGATGAATCGAACGATTGCATCTATTTCCGTGTTAACAATTAGTAATATCCTTAACTCATTGTAAAAGCAGCGTGGAGTATTAAATAATTATTTAAATTTTAAAGCATTTGAATTTTAAACACAAAGCTCAACTTTGGAAAATGTTTTTCTTTTGTAGAATTGAATGCATACAAAATTGTTATTTTATATAATAAAAAAAGTGAATAAATGTCGCACTTCAATGATTGCAGAAGGGGTCTTAACAATTGGACTAGACATTTATATAAATTTATAAAAAAAATCTTTAATACAACAACAGTAGTAATAGTGGAATGCATATATTTACAAATATGTCATGCACATTAATTATTGTTTCCTTTCAATGGTTGTTGAATTAAAGTATAATACACAAAATTGCAAGCTTGTTATGATTCAAGAATTAAGATGCTTTCAATTCTTCAAGCGTAAAAAATGTACTTCAATGAATAGAACGATTGCAACTATATCCGTGTTAACAATTAGTAATATCCTTAACTCATTGTAAAAGCAGTGTGGAGTATTAAATTTAATACTTATTTAAATTTTAAAGGATTTACATTTTACACGCAAAGCTCCACTCGATTTTGTCCCGTCTTTGGTGACAGTTTAAAGCTAAACGTGTTAAGGTAATCTTAATGTGCTTAGGGTCTAGACGTGTTTAAAATTAAATGTGCTTATAGGTATTTAACATCATGATTTATAATACCTAAGCACATTTAATGCTAAACACGTGTAAACATGTTGAGCTTTTAAACGTGTAACCAAAGACAGGACATAATTGTGTGGAGCTTTGCCTTTAAATTTAGTGTAAGTGTGGCAATAAGCTGTTGAGACTAAAAGTAATATTCCCCAATAATAAAGTATATTTATGGTTGAATAGCAATTTGCATATAT